CTGTGGGTTTCACCAGCCTGGTACTGACCCCTTTGATCTTCATTCCTCCCTCTCTGCAACTAGGTTCCAGAGTTCAGTTCAGTGTATATCTGTGGGTGTCTGCCTCTGCTTCCATCAGCCACTGGATGAAGGCTCTCGGGTGGCATAAAAAGTCGTCATCAGTCTCATTATAGGGGAAGGTCATTAAAGTTAGCTCTCCACCATTGCCTAGATTGTCAGTTCGTGTCATCCTTGTAGATCTCTGGAAATCTCCCTAAGTGCCAGATCTCTCCTCAGACCTATAATGTCTCCCTCTGTTATGATATCTCTCATCTACTATCCTCTATTCTTCCCCCAACTCAATCCTTCTGCTCCTCCATTCCCTCGTGTCCCCTCCTCTTCTCCTCTCATTCTGGCAGCTCCCTCTCCCCTACCCTCATGCTCCCAATTAGCTCATGAGATCCTGCCCCTTCCCATTCTCTGGGGTCCAGGCATTTTTTCCTTAGAGTCCTTGCAAGCAGAATCTTGTTCTGAGTTGAAGAAGCTTTTAAAGTTTCCTTTAAAAAATTTAAAACCACCTGTATTTATTTATCTTCCTATTTATGTGTGTATACACCCACATGTGGGCTACAGCTAACACATGAAGACCAGAGGAGAGGAGATGGTTCTCTCTTCCCATCATGTGGGCACCTGGGATTAAATTTAGGTCACTGAGGCATCTCACTAGTTAAAGCATAGTTTTAAAATATTTTAAATCTATTCTTTATAAATTTCACAACTTACACAATGTATTCTGATCATATCCATACACCATTCCCTCACTGTACCTCCTGGTGTCCTCTATCTATAACTAGTTTCCTAACTTTATGTCCCGTCTTTGTGTGTGTGTGTGTGTGTGTGTGTGTGTGTGTGTGTGTGTGTTTGTTTGCTATTATAACCCATGAGTTCAGTGAGTGCTGCCCCCATATGCATGGGGGTAGGACACAACTTACCAGCTACGATAGCTCCAAAGAGTGATACCCCCTCCCTCAGCAATCACTTAGTTCATATAGCATAAATAAATAGCATAAAATGGATCTTCTATGCTGAATTTTATTTATGTATTGTAAAAATTGGTTTACCAATTCATCACGTTTAATAATCCCTATGGCTTTAGACTGATATATTTTATTTGGTTTATCTATTGTTTTGTGGAATGCTAGGGGTTGAACCCCAAACTTTGTATATGCTAGGCAAGGGCTCTACCACTGAAATGTATCCCGGCTCATAATGTACTTAAAACTAGTATATATATAATTCCTTTATGTTATATACATAGTATAATAAGTACAAAGGAATATTAAAAAACCTAATGCACACACACACACACACACACACACACACACACACACACACACACACACACACGCGCACACACACACGAACTCCTTCTTGCTCCTGTGAGGAACTGGCATGCAATCCCTTGCTTCATTTATTTTCATGACTTAGCATTTGAACAGTATATCTTTTTTTTGTGTATCTATTTCTTTTCGTAAGTTTCCTTATGGCCTAAAGATAGCATAGAAATAGATTTGTGTTTTATCCCTTAATTTGAGCATCTTCATAGGCAAATTTAAGTACTTTCAAATTAATTGTGATTTCTGGTATATTTGGATGTATTGCTGCCATATTCGTTTTCTTTTTCTTTGGATGAGAATCCTTTCTTCCCACCTTATCCTTTCTCCATCCTGACCCATAATTTCTGCCTCCAGGTTCTTCAGAGGTTGCTAGATATGTAAAAACATTTTGTGTACTGCTTCTTGGTGAGCTTGGAGCATTGGGGGATGTTTATAATTTTGGGCCTAAGCAGTTTCTATGCTGGTCCACAGAGTTCTGCAGTGAACCCATCAGAAGACTTCTTGTCATGGGATGTTTTGATTGAACTCTGACACTCCCAAGACTTCCAATAAAGTATACTTTGAATAAAAGCGTGGAGCTAGCTACTAGGTGACCAGGATTAGCCATAGAGGTTTTGGATGACTCAGGACACACAGACAGACACAGGAACTAGTGGAGAGGGCCTTAGAAGATTCTTGACCCTTTTAGATTGAGGAAGGAGAGAGAGAAGGTCACTTCTCTGCCGATTCTCTGATCATTCATGTCCTTACCCTAATATCTGACTCCCGAGTTTTTATTGATAAAGGATAATTAGATAAATGTTTCAACTCCTGTCATCAAAATCTTACAGAATTTGCTTACGGAGATTCATGGAAACTCCAGATCATAGAACTCTGTAACCTTAGGGCGGTGTTTCTTTTGCCTGACCCATCACCAAGATTATTTTAGAAGGGACTATAAGACATACTTTCCTGGTTTCGATTTAGTGTTTGATTCAGATAAATTAATAGGTGTATCCAGGCAGGAAATTATTATCTATAATTCTAGTGGATATACTTAACATCTGAACAGGTGTATTTAAATATAAATGTAGCCTAGAAGAGGTACCATATATTTTGCTTACATTTATCTTCCTACATTAGCCTTACAGTTCTGTAATGATCTAAATTCCTCCAAGTCAGATGAAAATCTCGAGTTCATAAACAGGAAGTCACATTTGTGCAACCACAAACGTAGTCATTAATACTTTCCCACACTACAGGTCCATTATACTAGGCCCACGATGAAAGGTATGAAGTTTCCATCGAGGGAAATAGTTAAGAAGAGAGGTGAGCTATATCCTAGCACATCTGAATACCCAAACACCTGTCCTTAAAAAGTTCCTTATGGCTCTGCTTCACTTCATCCAACGAGGTGGACACATTTGGGGGACTGTGAAATGTACTTCTCCTTCTATCCTATGATTGTACCATTGCTGTTGAAACAAGGCTCTTTAATTCTGCCTTAAACATGGGTTTCTAGAAGACTTTAGTGGATAAAGAAAAGAGGGTATATAATGCACATGCAAGCTGGGCTGGAAATATTTATGCTGGAAGTGGCCAGAGTCAAGTCCAAGTAACTGAGGAACTACACAACAGGCTGAGGGTCACACACGTTCTGTGAAGGCCTTTGTGGAGAGGTGTGATTTGATGATGACTTGGACTCAGAAAGATACAGAGAAAATTGGAGTAGTGTGCATGGTCTGTGTCACCTGTGCCAGCCCCCAAGCGGGCATGGCCAGCATTTCCCCCTACACTGGGGGTGGGGGACCTAGTCAGGATTTTAATGTGAGGGTGGGTGACTACGGTGAAGCAGTAGTCATTAAGTGGTAGCTGACAATCTGAGGACCATTAGGAAGCAAGGGACTTGTCTAGAATTGCATTACGATAAGGTGCCAGACTTCAGTGACTCCCCATGGGAAGCCTTACCCTCTCTGAAGAGTGGACAGGGTGGGGTCAGGGGAAGGTGAGGAGAACCGTAGGAGGGGAGGAGTGGGAATGGGAATTGATATGTAAAATGAGGAAAGATTTTTTTAAAATAAAAAAAATCATGTCAAAAAAGGTGAAACCACAGGGAGGATAATGTTAGTCTCTGGAGCATCTGCCATCTGATGGGACCACTGCTTTGGCCAGGACTGGCTGTGTGCCTCTTAGGCTTTCCGCCTTCAGTAAGTAATCTGTAAGTATTCTTCTAGGGCATGCATAGAATTTTCCATTTCATGGTTAATTTGAGCACCATAACATGTTGATGGAATGTACATATAGTTATGTGGTCTATTCTACTTGGATTTTGTTAATTAAATGTTGATTTTAGAATAAATTAAGAAATTAAAACTATTACTTTTGTTAAAACTCTTGTCATAGAAACTCCTTACAGCACTATTAATGAACAAGAATTAAACCTTGTTGTAGTCTAGCAGCCAGGTTTTCTACAGGCTACAGATGGAGCCTAAGTAACCACAGCACAGCCATAGAGCTGTGGTTTTTGTCTAGATCTCCCTGTTGATGAGAAGGCAGAAGCAGGATGAGCAGGTAGCATCTGGGTTAGGGATGGGGGCATGTGTGTACTTTTCCTTTTAGCTCTAAGGCCGCACCTGGTGCAGGCTGCCATTTATGTATGCCCCATGTTGATTTAGAGGGCCTTGTTTCCTTGGTGTCCTCCCTCCCCTCTGGCTCTTACACTCTTTCTACTCCCCCCTTTGCAGGGAGACATTCCATTTAGGGCTGAGCGTTCTAAGGTCTCTCACTCTCTGCATATTGTCTGGCTGTGGGTCTTCACATTTGTTGCTATCTCTGCTGCAAGCGAGCTTCTCTGATGATGGCTGAACAGATCCATGAGTGTAGCAGAATGTCATCAGGCACCATTTTATTGATAAGCTATTTCAGTAGAGTAGTAGTATTTGGTTTTACTCTAGGTCCCTGGGCTCTCTAGTCTCAGGTTCCTTGGTCACCCAAGCAGTGTTGGGTATGGGTTCCATCTCATGGAGTGGGCCTTAAATTAAATCAGATATTGGTTGGTTACTGCTGTAAGTTTTGTGCCACCATGGCACTAACATATCTCAAAAGGTAGGACACCATTGTAGATCAAAGAGTTTGTAGCTGGGTTGGTTTTTATGCTTCTCCTTTGGTAGCATACAGAGTACCTTCCTGTACTAAATTTGCTAGGATGTAGGGGTTAAAGTTCTATAGGCACCAATCTATTTTGTAAGGGATTAAAATGGCCCCATCTGCTTGCTCCTTAGGTCCGTTTGCTTGGGATATATTTTTCCCATCCAACATTCTGGATCTGAAATGTGAAGGCTTAGTTCCCTTGATTTAAGACAAATACTCAGCTAGGTTTTAAAACATTCTGGATAAACTGGCAGACAATGGGATGCTTCAATTTGTGTTCAAGATGGTTTTCCGGGAGAAGACACTAATGAACACTCTAAGACATAAACTTGAGTGCTCTGGTAACCAGAAGTAACTATAAACTAGAGTTAAAAGTATATCTACATGGCCTCTAAGTTAAGAAAACTTAAAGGGTCCTCAAGCTGAAACAAACAGACAACCCCTCTCCCCCACAAAAATCCAGAATTGTATAAATGGGTGGTCTGATAAGGAAAAAGATGATTTATTGTACATAATACTGTGGATTTTTGGATACGTTGGGTGTTCTGTGTCTAGAGACTCAAGTGGTGGTCTGATGGTTATTCGGTCTTCTTTGGCAGCACACATTCCCATGTAGACCTCTTTTCAAGAGTGAGTTTTCTAGATGTGGTACCCCACTTGCTTTCTGTGTTGGACGAGTGACTCCAATGCTCTGAAGAGCTGGTGTTTCTTTTGAGTCCCCATCACTGTTCTTGGTCTCTGTAAAAACAAAGACCAAGACTCATGAAGAGGAAAATGTGTCAGGAGCTTTTGACTATACATACTTGTAAAGAGTCAGATGCTTGTCATCAGTAATACTAGGTTTCAATTTCATCATAGGAAGGTGTCAGCCAGCCGCAGTATTTAGAAATCAACCAAAGGTTTATGGGAATCTGACCCATGTCATGGGTGGAAGGTCAAACAGGATCCTACAAGCTTTAGAAGTTGGGGGAGCATTATATTTTTAAAAAGCCACCTCAGTGAGTGTGATGGTTAATCTTGAATAGCAACTTGATGGAGTTTAGAATTAACAGGAAAACAAACCATTATGTGTATATACGGGAGCATTTCTAGATTAATTAAGCTGGGAAGGTTAGTTGAGGTGAGAAGACCTATCTTGAATGTGGGTAGCATTCTTTCATGGACTGGCCCTGGACCGAATGAAAGGAGAAAGTAAGTTGAGCATCAGCTTTCATCCTTGCTTTTTGACTCTGGATGCAGTTAAGACCAGCTGCCTTGTATTCTTGATGCTGACTATGGATGCAATAAGACTAGCTGCCTGATGTCATGACGTCCCTGTTACGATAGACTTTATCCTCAAGTTGTGAGCTGTAACAACCTCTCTTTCCTTAAATTGTTTTTTTGTCAAGATTTGGTTATAGCAACAAGCTAAGTAACTAATGTGCTAAGGAAGGGAAGTGGGAAGTATAACAACCATGCAGGGGAAAGCAGAACAAGACACAGAGGCTTCTGTTTATTTGTCTCTAGAGTCCTAAGTAAATGCCTATGGTTGATGTGATGAGCGTGGCCTTGTGAAAGGTGCCAGTGCCTCAGACTCATGTCCCTCTGGTCCAAGTACTGATGTTGACAATATGTGTAGAGTATCAACCACAGCCTTTTCCTCACTGTGCCTGTAGCCTGAGATTGCTCACCTACAGAGACCCCCCCCCAACTAATATTATCCAACTGTCCTCACTTAGCTGTATATAATAAACCTGCCTCCTCATTCAGTTCTATATAGTAAACACACTGAATCTCCAGGCTGCTGGTGCATCTCCATCAGAGTGCATGGCCCATCTGATCCTAGCTTTCCTATTCACCTGTCTGTTATTTCTTAATTTCCCATTGCCCGACTCTGATGGGGGAAGTGCTTCTGTGTATGTGTTTGTCTTATTGGATGATAAATAAAAGTACTGTTTGGCCAATGAGGCAGCAAGTTGGGTGGGACTAGGAGTCAAGGAGGATTCTGGGAAATGTATTAAAGAAGTGGTGATCCAGGCAGGAAGTGACATAGCAAGGAGACTCATATATAAACAAGGGCAGGAAGGAAGTGGTCCCCTTCGCTCTTGCTTCAGAGTCACCATTTGAGCCTGGGAAGACAGGACGCTTGTCACTGGCATCCAATAAGATAAGTCTTATAAAACATATAGATTTATGATAATTAAGACTGAGCACGCAGATGAGAAATCCCAGTCATTGGCCAAGCAGCATTTGGCCAATATAAGCATTTGGCTAATATAAGTCTCTGTGTATTATTTTGGCCACCCACATGGCGGGCAGAACTCAAGCGGGTGGCGGAAAGATTTATCGTAACACGAGTCACCTCAGTCAGGTCAATTCCAAAGCTGTGCAGATCTCGGCAGCCAAGTGTCCAAACACCTGAGCCTACGGAGAACATTTCTCATTTAAGCTACCATTCTCTCTGTATGGCGTAAACAAATAAAAAACAAAACAAAAATAAAAACTTGACTAATCACTGACCACTCCTGTCCCCTATTCAAGTTCCTAAAGCATCCTTACCTGTAGAGAGGCTGTCTGGGTCCTCAGGATGATAATCCACACAAGGAGGTTTTTCAAGCAGCAATCGCTGCTCACTACTTCAGCTACAAGTGAGCAAAGTACATTTGCACAGCACTGTGCAGCACAAATCCTCAGCTGGCATATAAGCTTTGCTAGTAACAGCTCCTTCAGGGGCCTGAACTTGGAAGGTGTCAAAGAATGGCTTTACAAGTATTTGCTTTGTGTTAAAAGATTTGTCATCCCATATCTCTATAATAGAAGGTGATTATACTGCCCGGATCCCCACACTCCAGACAGGCTGCCTGGATCCCCAGGGATGCAAATGAGAATAGTGAGGAATAAGATAGAAACAGGGCTCCATTACTATCTCATTAAAGATACCCTGTGATTTTGCTAGTTTAGAGATGTTTAACTCTTGGCTGACACCTCTGTGGGAATCAATACCATATACACCACACTACTCATCCTCTTTCTATTTCACCTCTTACCTTGCATTTCCTAAACCTGGCTCCTACATTCTCTGGTACCCTGCAGCTACAGTTCTTTAATATCTTCCCTGGGGTCTCAATGGGTTTATTTTAAGAACTCAACTCTCTTCTCTGTAGATCATCGTGGTCTCCATTTCTCCAGACCCCAAAGTTCTAGCCAAGCTCCAGTGCTCTACTCTCTAGTTCTCTACTCGTAGCAGCTTCCTTAGATGCCTTCATTGTTATGAAATCACTCAGAAAACTACGATGCCCAGGCTTGAATGTATCTTTCTTTAAAACCCCCTCAATATGCTTCCAGATTTATATTTGCGACATTTGAATAATAGGTAATTTGTCTTTTACTCCTACTGTACATTCACTCATTGTTGGCCCTAACAGATTGTTTTTGAATATTTATTTGTTTTCTCTTCCTTTGTCTTTCCTCCTGCACACTGCCAGCCTCTTGCTGTTATGTAATATCCTCTTGTCCACCTATTTCCAGGTGATTCACCACAGCATATACATCTTACTATGAAACCATGTGTTGATTCCCAGCATCTAAGAGAAAACTGAGGTCCTGGGTTTTCCACAGACAGAACAGCTCTGGGAAGACACAGAGTATGGTATAAAGGCAGCCATTACCAAGGTGGGTTTCTCAGCTTTTATGTTAAGCTGTGCCATTGCTTCATTAAAGTTGGGATTGGATTCAAAGACCTGGATAAATAAGCTTGGTGTAATTTTTCAGGCAAATACTTGATCTCTACTGTCCTTATGATGAGTGAAGCAGGAAGGTGGAGGGTAGAAATGTGTTTATCCAATAGCAAGCTGAATTTGAATTAGACAACGGAGATATAGCTGAAGAACTGCATGGTCTTGAACCAAGCATTAACTAGTTATTTCCCCTATATCATTGTTATCAGGGTATACCCTGGCAAGACCACAATGGTTGTGGGTTGGTAAAGGGCATAGAAATAAACCACTCTGGAGATGGTTTCAGGTCTCTTTATTGCATGTGAGCAACCACAACTATGAACTGTGATTGGTTAGCACATTACCTCGGATTGAATAGTGAGCGCTCACACCACTAGGGTCTCTATGTGGAAGAAACACATAAAGGAGACACGGAGAGTGCAGACTGTGTCTGCAGGCAAGCTACAGACTACTCAGGTTATTTCAGAATTTAGCGTTCTGCCTTCAGGAGCATGGTGTGCCATACTTCTTATTTAGAAGGGCAGTGTGCCTAGTGGGCTAGTCACCAGGTCATACCTACATTTACACACCTAGTCCCTTAGTTAGTAATAAGGCCTCTCCTGACCAGTGTATCATCTTCCTTTATTTTTCTATGTAGTTGTAATTTCTTATTTGGTATATTCTGCATTTTACTTGTGTATTATTTCCTTTGTTTAACCAGCATGTGTGGCCTTGGAGGGCAGGGGGCTTTTGCCTGCTGTTTTAGTGCTTTCTGCTCAGTTTTGGAATCATAATGGACTGCCAGGATAAAACACTATGACCAAAAAGCCACTTGGGTGGGAAAGAATTTATTCCATTTTTTAACTCTCAGGTCACAATCCATCAATGAAGGAAATCAGGGCAGGAATTATGGAAGCAGAGACCATGGAGGAATGCTGCTTACTGACTTGCTCCTCATGGCTTGCTCTGTCTGGTTCTTATACTATCCAGGGCCACCTAAACAGGGATGGCACTGCTACAAATGAGCTAGACCCTTCCATATCAATCATTAATCAAGAAAATGTCCCAAAGACTTACCTGCAGGCCAACCTTATGGAGGCATTTTGTTTATTAAGATTCTCTTTCCCAGATATGTCTAGACTTATGCCAAGTTGACAAAAGCTAACCAACACACTAACACAAGGTACATTCTCAGTGTTTACATAAATATTTGGAAGTTTTAAAAAACAAATACTTATTTTCTCTAATAGGAAACTTTGTAGTTATTGGTGAATTCAGCCAATTCTGCCCTAAATATGCTAAATTTACTTGTCTTCTAATTTTACTTATCTGTGTAGAACTTTCTCCTTTCTTTTCATTTTTCCACCCATCCTATTTTGGGTTCTGATTAGATTGTAGTATTGGGAAGACAGTCCAGAAATCTTAGGCCATAATAATTATTATTCTCCTGGCTGCTGAACTCATGGCATTTGTAGCTCTCATCTCTGGGACGGTCACACTTCAAGCCTGGTGTGCCTTGCCTGTGCCTGGCATCCTTCTGGTCTAGGTCTTATCCTCTCTGGTGCCATGTTCTTCCATTACTATGGTTATACTTCTTAAATCTTAACCTAACTACTGCAGCATGTCACAACATGGAAAACAGATGAAGCAAATCCCACAACCCTTTAAGGACATCATATTTTCATGCAAGCTATAATACAAGCTAATAAAATTTTAACATTGTAGAAAGCCAAAAATTTAAAGTATATGTTTTGTGTGTTCCTACTATATCTCAAACAGTACTAGGTATTGTTGTTTTAATTTGACACAGTGGCTGCACCTTTATTGACTGCTATCTCAGCCAGCAATTGTGACTCTGTAGCAGAAGCCTGGTAGCTCAGGCCACAGTTGGGCAAGAATTTTGCTCCGGCAGGTGCCAGCCCTGTTGCTGCCACTAAAGTTAGCTTTAACTAAATATCTATTGTTATAATAGGACTTGAGATCAAAGGCTGGGGTGAAAATCTGTGAGCTCAGAGAAGCTGAGTAGCAACTAGCTAAGCTTTT